ATCAATGTGTCGCCAGACGGGGCACACCCTCGGGATCCATTCCCCATTCCCCATTCCCCTTTCCCCATCCTCGATCCATCGATATTGATTAACGTTCCATGGATCAGGACGCGCTCTCCGAATTTACATTCGCCTGGGCGTAAGTGGCAATCAAAATAAAGTTGATTGGATCTCAATTTTCAATCAATTGAAATGGTTTCCCCATCACATACATCCATCGATTAATAAATGGATCTGCAGCTGTATCTTTAGCTGTGGCCAAAATTGAATTTCAAAAGCGCGCTTCAAAGCGCAGCGACAACCAGTTTTCATTTACTGATCGAAAGATCCACCACTGGATTTTGTTGGGTGTGTGCCATTCCATTCATTATCCGAACCATACCGAAAGATATGGCAGCCGCAAACTAGTTTTCGAACTGATAAATCCATGTTTGGGAGATTCATTCCTCTGAAATGCTCCAAGAATGCAAACATTTATTACCATTTATCGTTAGGAAAATCTATTGATATTAAAGTCTCAAAAGGTGTTGGAGAAAACCACAGATAAGAAATATATATTTCCGATTCCAGAGATCATTCCGATTTCGATTATAAATCGCTTTATGGGATCCATCGAATGGATCTGCCCTGAATGTGGAATGAGGGTCGCACCCTGCTCCGATCTATCCAACCAACTGATCCGCCAGTGGAATATCAAGTGCACCCAAAATATATAATAGCTAACCCGACAAAATCCGCCCAAAGATTCACTTGTATTTTTCACACATTTCGCTCGTAAAAAGAAAAATTTGCCTAAATACAACATTTAAATGCACATTTGTGTGGATTGTCTATTGTGTGTGTGTTTTATGTTTTGTTTTAGATGACACAATAGAATATATATGCGATGGCTGTAAATTCTACATGTTCTATGATGATCCCACACACTAAAAGACGGACGAATGGGTGGACAGACGGACGGACGGACGGACGGACGGAGGCATTCCTGCATTTTGCAATAACTCAGAAGGCAAATTGCGACAGTTTGTCCCCCTGCCCCAGCACTGCTACTGAGTAACAGTCTGGGGCTGCTGCTGCTGCTGCTGTTTGCTGCTGGCTTCGGGGTGATAGTTTTTTCTATTTTCAACATTTACGCAATGCAATATTTAAACAATAATTATTGTTCATCCGCCACGAAACTCAACGCAAATGTACGATATATTTACACGCATACAGCGACACTGATACACAATCCATAGATACAATGGACACAGAGGCATCTCTTTCGAGTGCAAATATTAAGTTACAAACAAAGTGGGAGGCGTTGATATTCATACAGAAGTTTTGGAAAGAGATAGGTTTCCGAAAGGATGGAAAAATGTCAATTCAAAATACCAAGAGACAGAGAAAACACTTCTCTAGGTCTAGTTGTAGCACTCTCTCTCTCTCTCTCTCTCTCTCTCTCTCTCTCTCTCTCTCTCTCTCTCTCTCTCTCTTTCTCTCTCACTATCCCCTTCTCTATCCTGTCTTTCGCTGCTCAACAACATGAAATTCCAATGCTCTTTCCTTTTCGTGTGCTTTGTGTCTTGTATCTGCCTCTTGTGCTCTTGTATCTATATCTATTTTTAAACGTTTGCTTCATAGTCTGCCACACCCCTTGCCCCTGCCACACACATACACACACACACACACACACACACAAACTCTGTTGCAAGGGGGTATTACAAAATGCATGCGGAGGGACAGTGAATGTCTACGTCACTTGTTGGACGGCGGCCAGCGACGCGACTCCTTCTAGAAAGAAGAAGGAGGATGGGGAGGATGACTAATGGGCCCCGAAACTCTGTTTGATCGCATGTGGCTGGAAGGCTGACAGCAGGCGGAAGGCGAAAGGCGGAAGCCGAAAGCTTATGGCCAATCATTCAATCAACCAATCATCAGAGGGGAGAGACAGACAGGGAGACAGGGAGACAGGGAGATAGGGAGACACTTCAGTGACAGCTCTTCATGGCACTTGAATCATCTTTAAACATATTCCACTGATAGAATGTCTCTGAACTTGAGATTGAAGTGGCACAACAAAATAGGCAGAGTGTGTGGCAGGGCAGGGACAGGGCGCAGAGCGCAGAGCGCACAGGGGAGTAGTCGGAGTTGCGCTCGCGGAATGGCATAATATTTAAACAAATGGCTCTCATGGCTTTTTTCCATTGAAAAATTGCATGTGTGATGTGTGACGGGGCTCCCGTTGGCAACAGCTACAAAGATACAGAGATACATTAACAACTACACACATAAGCAGATACAAAGATACACAGCAACCATGCAGCATGTGTTGATCGAGATGTTGATGGTCCGAACATCTTGTGTCCATATGTTGCACAAACAAACAAAACCAAAAGCCGTGTGGCACACAACAGAAGAAGCACAAGCAAGAGAGCGTGAGGGACAACAAGCCGAAAAAGATACAAAGCTTGGGATACTCTAACGTGAAAGATACAAATGGATGATGAGCTTAAATCCCAATATTTCAAGCAATTTTCTTCCCAAAGTCTTGCAATACCACAAAACTCGAAGCACATCGAAAGAATCAAAGTTGTAAAAGCGATCATTCTTCTCTTTTGTTAAAAATTCGTAACAGCCGCTTTCTGGCCAAGGGTATGTCTATTTATCTTTTATTTTTCCTTTGATTTTTTGTTGGTGATTTATTTTTTGGGGATCTGTGGATGATGCAAATATTTTGACAGTTTGTTTGACAGACAAGTGGCATGAGGGACAGGGAATGAACAAGAGCAAGGGGTAGAACGAGAGCGAGAGCAGGCCAATCTGCAACAAAAGATGAGGCACACAAGGGATCTGCTCTGTAGAGGCACATTGTGACTCACAAATGTTTCAATGTAGAAACAATAAGGCAGGAAGATGTACCCAAGGATCTGCACGAGGAGAATGGCTTTCTTTTTTCACTGGTATCTTGGATCGTGTGTCCACCTGTGCGTATACGCAATGGTATGGACATGGATCCACAATACGCATACGCCTTGGCGGATGGGGCTGCAGCGGCACTTATCTATGGCACACTGCTGCCTGCTTACTGCCTGCTGCTGGACTCCCTTTCTGTTGTCAGTGACCCCATTTACAGTAAACTCCGCCTTTTGCTTTTTTCTTTGCCTTTACTTTTGCTTTTCCTTTTGCAGCAAAGTGTGTGATAAGACCATGGGATGGGGCAGTGGCAGTGCATTCGCGGCATGCGATACTATATTTTTTTGTATAAAGAAGGAATTAAATGGAATTACAGAGCTCTTTATAAGAATTTGGCCCCATTTTACAGGCTACTTCCGATGTGATAAAAACTTAAAAATGAAAACAATTTTTTATTTTTTTATTTGCTGCAGTAAATTTGCTACTCCAAATGGATCTGGAGATCATTCTTAGGCGATTTCATGGCAAACAACTTTCAAAGGAAATTCTCCTGGATTTTTCAGTTTTTAAATGAGTTGCTGCCTGCCATTCTTTAGGAATTTATGTGAATGGATCTGTGGTATTACTCTGGCTTCTGATTCCCTATCGATTCCCTCTACAATCGTCTAAGCGAGCCATACGCTACCCTTGAACTCTACAGTTTCCTGGGTACGAAAACCTCGACGGCAAAAACAGACGACAGACACAACGATAGACAGCAAGTGAATGAAAGACCCAACGAATCAAAAAAATGAACATATATTACATACTGAAATGATTTCGAATGTTAATTTAAGAAATTATTTCATTTGCAAGGCAACCAAACGACGGCAGGGGCACATCTATGGGCATACTGGGGCGGGCAACATGTCATTAACATGCCCCGTGATAAGGCAAGCAGCCGGTGCCGGTGCCAGTGCCGGTGGCCTATAATCGCGCCGGGCTCATTAAACGATGGACGTAGAGCCCCTCCAAAGGCATAGAGCCCCACCCAAAACGTAGGCCCCTCCTTATACCCACAAGAGACAGATAGAAATTTAAACAATCAACGCATTCATAATTGGCAAAAAAAACGTAGACAAATGAGGAATATTTTGGGGACAGTGATAACCCCTCTAGATGACCCCCAATCCGCCAGAGAGCTGCCAAAGCCGCAAGATTTCAGATTTCAGATTTCAGATTTGGTTTTTTTTTTGTTTTCTGTCGCCACAAAATCCGGTCTTTTAACAGTGACCCCCCTCAGCTAACATACGGGAATACATCCCACCCCTCTGTTAATGTTACTTTCCATCGGAATTTTAATGAGTTTTAAATGAGGTTCGGAGACGGGGAGAAAAACTATTTTCAAATCTTCTCTTGAGTGGTGGAAAGATGCAACCAATAAATGCTGCTTATGCTAATCTTTTTTTGTATGTGTGTCATGTGAAAAATAGTTCAAGTTCGTTCGATTCATTCGATTCGTTTTGGGGCACGACATTCGACATTCAACCAGAGAGCAGCGCCAAGTTGTGTCATCATCATCCGCATGAAGCACACATTCGAGAAATGGGGGACCTTAATAGTTTTAATCGTTTGATAACCAACAACATTTTCATTCGTAAAGTTTTGGTGACTTTTTCATTGAAATAAAACCTCAAATAAACTGGAATTTTTGATTAAAAGACTGTTGGGAATGTCTCAATAAAAGGATTTCTCCTAACAATATATCTCTAAAAATTGTAATCTTAAAGTACTCTATGAAAATTGAACAAGAAACCCCGAAATATTCAACTCGAACGAAAATACCTGACCCATGGGCCCAATTTGTGAGTTTAATGATAGTCAAAGGACGTGTATTAGGAATTTGAAAGTTTAAGGGATTCAAATCTTCCTGGCCAAGTTCCGTATTTCATGGAAAATATCTAAAAACATATGCATCCCTATTATGTGTACATGCAGATGTATTTGAGGCATATCCCAAGATATCTGTACTTAAGAAATTCCAAGACTCATTATGAGCACCAAATACATTTTTTGTAAGGGGATCGAGGGATGAAAGAAATATCCTCTGTGGCAACTTTACTCACCTTGGCATTGGTGAGCGGCACGTGGCAGGCATTCATCACTAGCGCCACCGCTAGGAGGCGCAACAGCAGCGACATCCGTCCCGTCACGATCCCAGACGCCTGGGACCCGGATGATCCCATCGCTTGTGTTGGGGGGCTTAGATTTTACTTTGGATTTTGTTGTTTTTGGTTTTTTGGCAGCTTTTACGGTTATAGGTACTTTGTGTGTGTGTGTGTGTGTGTGGGTGTGGTTTTAAGGCAGTTGTCGGTTCGATATTCGATATACTTGATGGGGTTAAACGGTAGGAAGACAGTGGTTTACGGTTATGGCACTGCAAAAACGGAGACAGGAAAGAGCGTTAAGAGAGAGGTGGAAAAACGTGCAGTTCAGCAGAATAGAGAAGATAGGCACAGGCAATGTGCGGTTGGGAGGGGAAATACACATATTCCCGAATCAGCGAAAAATTGTCATGAAATGGAAGACCCGAAAAAAGAGCCAAAGAGAGACAGAGATGGTTAGTGTGAGAGCAAGAGGAAAACAAAGTTCCATAGAAAAAAGCTTGGATCTCGTATCTCGGGAGCCGGATCGGAGCCCCCATTGTAGGGTGTCCTCCAGTGTTGAAGTTTTTCGTGTTTATTTTTCTTTTATTTCTTGTGCCACTTTTTGGTTTATTTTTTTGTGTTCTTTTGTGTTTTACATATCGCGCGCGTTGATTTTTACACCCGATCCCGCGACAAGAGATCCCGAAATCCGGTTACCCGGTTCCACTTTATGTTTTCTTCTTTTATTTTTTAGCGCGTCTCTTGATCAAAAAATTTCAAAAATACAAAAAAAAACTAGCAAGAAAATCTCAAGAAAATCACGCGAAAACGGACTACAAAAAAATTGTACAATTGTTTCTTTCGAGATGTATCCTTTTGGAGAGGTTATTGGAGGAGCACTTTGTGGGGGGCACTTGAAAAAAATATAGAACTTGGTGAATATTCTGTCGAGTGTGTTGTTGCACCTCCGTGGCAGAAAGGGTCTCAGAGTCTGTGTGTGTTTTGTTTAAGAGAAGGGGGGAGTGAGAGAACGCACCGAAAAGTGTGCGACCGCCTCGAACGATGGCGCGCAACCGAATGTGTAAGAACTTTGGGGCTGTGCCTGCGACACCGCTGCAAACGCCAGAGCCAACGCCAACGTTGGCGACGCCGCCGTCGTCGCTCTGCCGCCGAAGACGCTGCCAAGACACGACGAAACACGAGACCAGGTCCGAAACCGAAGCATTGAACAGCTACAGTGGAGCAGGGCACGGCAGGGGGAGCCCGAATGGCAGCGAACTTTTGCGTGCTCTTGTTATTGTTGTTGTTCCTGAAAGCCTAACGGCGCTTAAGTGGGTACGGAGACAGCGACAGCGACAGCGACAGCGCAGCCAACGCATGCATTTGCAAGCCTGTTGCGTCGAGTGCAACTCCCTCTCTCCCTCTCCCGCTGGTTCGCGGTGCACTCTCTCCCTCTATTTCTCTGGCTGTGTGTGTCTGCGTGGGTGTCAGCGCACGCAAAGTCTATAGCGCTTGCTCTTTATCAAGAGCAGGATGCACATTTCGGCTGGCTTCGTGTGCGGGAGGTAGAGAAGCTTTGGGCGGTCACCGCACCTGGCCCCTCACCACCTCCACGCCACACACTCACTCTGTAGGTCAACTGATAAAAAAGAGCAAGAGAGGGAAGAGACGCCGAGACTCCGCGAGAGCCGATGCTCTCTACTCATTTCATTTCTTTCTCACCTTTTGGGGATACCTTTTGGCGGAGGAGGGTATGCTGATTCTCATTAAATGTTGGAAAAACTCGAAGAAAAAAGGGGCCACAAAGATCATCTATTTTATGGCACGGAATTGTTTATGGCACCACTTCTAGTCTCGTTAAAATCATTCGTTTGTATGTATATAATTATACCTAGCTCTCACCATTTTAATTATAATTGTGAGATCATGATGTCATCTGCAAAGGAGTATCAAAGGTTCGACACCCAAAGGCCATAACTTCTCTTTGTTTGTGTTTGCTTTTTCATTTGCAGCCGGTTTGGGATTTCACACTGAAAAACGGAAAAGCCAAAAAAGAAACGCTCTCTCATAAGGAAGAAGAAAGCAAGCCAGGGATGGTTCAGACCAAATAAGTACACAGTTGTTCATCATTCTATTAGCATTTATAGTTTGATAAATATCGAATATTTCCAATAATCGCATAACTTGTAATATTTGATATAATCATTTAAAAATGGCAGGTTATTTATTTATTTTCTATTATTTTGAATGATGGTTTCTTTTGATGTTGTTTAATCCGCAGAGTTAAAAATTCTTCTGGCTTTTTTGCAAGTGTTCTAGCTATCCGTTTTCTGTATAGATATTCTGCGGTGTCCGTAGGAGCAGGCGGACGGAGATTAGACAGTCAACGACGGTTGTTTATCCCAAAAACAGAAGGAAAATGCAAATGTGAGTGCAACCGAAACGTGTGCAGCTGTTGGGGCTTTTCACATTTCCCGACTCTCTGACCGTTCCCAGAATATCTGGTGTGTTTTAATGGTACTTCTCCGTGCGCATCCACTGCATTTTTGATGAATAACAACACGACTGATGAGAAGAAGACGACGGAATACCAATGGTGGGGCCAATTGCATGTGGAAAGATGGGTCATTGGGACTACAAAAAAAGTCCCAAAACTACATAATTCGTTGCTGTTTTGATAACTTATAAATACAAATTGTAACCATTTTAATTGTATAAGTCCAATACATATTTCTATAAAAGTTCTCAAAAATGAGTTTGTTGCAAAGTTCAGTTGTTATTTTTTCGTTTTAAATAAGTACCATAATTTTGAATGGTAATTCATTCAGAGTCAGCCCAGTTCCATGTAAAATTGCAGCTAAAACTGATCGACATTTTAGGTAGTCCGCCTTGTACGGTTGCGAAATCAGTTGACAACACCACAGAGAGGCGAAAACTCACACCACACCACAGAGCATATTCAGACACCCAGAGCATTGCGGCCTTCCCATTGGCGCCGGTGACCCGTTGACATCCCAAAACCCACGCATGCGTCGAGCGGGCCAGCCGGACCTGTAGGTGAACACCCAATGTGGGTCTCGTATGGAAACGGCCGTCGACCAATCGACACGTTGCGATTTTTGTGTGTCAGTGTCGTCGCCCCTTCACACCCTTCCAGAATCCAGAATCCCGAATCCAGAATCCCGAGAATTGAGAATCCAAAATCCAGAATCGAAAGCCAGCCAGAATCGAGTTTCCAGTATGCATACACATGTCCAGCTTAGTGGCGCCTTTTGCGAATTGCCACAGCTTCCGTTGTTGATAAACTGTGTGGCTAAAAATACTTAAACACCCAATTATTTGGTTGCCGAAAGATGCGACCGGGTGCCACTATCTCATCTCTATCAGCTATATAGCTCTATAGCTCCATGGCTCCACACTGTATACGGATGAGTCCATCGGTATCATAATGTGTTCGTATTTGGAACACACACACACACACACACACATACATAAATATTTATAATTTTTTTTGGGGATGTCAAGCGGGGCCACCGCTACCTTATCGCAAGAACTCAATGAAATTGGAACAAATGCTGGAATAAATCGAGTGTCGACTCTCCATTCGGTAAAGGTTATCGGTTATCTATGGGGCCGGGAGAAACCCTGACAACAGATTCCTAACAGCGGCGCGCAGCCTTCTAATTTCTGTTGGAATGTTAAAGCCGGCAACCGAACAGAAATTCACCACACCAAAAGCCATATGCCATATCTGGCCAAAAGCTGTCACAGTTTTAGGGGAATAGACGGATAGCACTTGAAAGCTTGCAGTCAAGTCAACTCAAAGCTTTTTCTGTTGTGCTTTTCGTGGGGGCTTTTAAATGCATTAATGGCTGCTAAGTGGGTGAGAGATGGATTTAATATTTCATTTATAATTGTCATTATGCCAAAAGCAAAGTCCATGCGTAACCAAAACGGGAGCCACAAGGTTACCTTATGCAACCATTGGCAGCGCAGCTGCTTGGAAAGATGCTTTGATTGATTCATTGAAAGGAAAATTAGATAATTGTCAGTCATGTAATTGCGGCATCAAGTCATTCATTCAGTGTTAAAACTCGGCAACCATTGTTGTCATTGTTTTGATTGGTTGGTTGCTTCCCGGTTCATTTATTCTGATAGATGCCTCGTATAGTCAACCATTATATCCGTGTCAAGGCTGATGTACAGTGCAGACCACGAATAGAACGAACTCTCGCATTCAAGGCGAATGGTCATGCATTAACGCGAGTGACTTTTGAATAATGTAAAACACACAATTAGATTCCAATTACAAATACAATAAAGTGGCGAGCGCAGCGAAATGCTGAAGGAAAATCATTTTGCTTTTACCATGTGGCAAGAAGAGGATAACACGTGACTAAAGGAGAGCTACGGTGGCATGTCGATGTAAATATTAAGTATACGAACACCACAGAAATTAAAACGAAAGCGGAAACGGAAGCCCCTGCAAGTGGGCAACACAAAATGTGTGAGTACGGGTATATGGGGTAAGGGAAAGTGCCACAAGCCACAAAGCAGTGATCTGAGAGCTGCAGAGGCAGTGGCAGCGGCAGCACCCCTAAAGGGTTCTGGGCTGGTGCGTTTGATGCTGAGAACTTGGTCGAGAAATTCCAAAGAATTCGATGGCTGAATGCACGTTGCAGACCCCACGGACACCGCTAAAGCTTTCAATATTTATTCCTTTTTAAACGGTTTATTTTCGCTGTCATCATTTGTCAAATAAGTGAAGGCAACAAAGTATATAATAACCATGGAAATTCTGAAAATAGAACTCAAAGTCTTTCTATCTCAAAAGCCAGTCCTATTTTGTGGGGAAACTCCTTTGACCCATTCAAATCTTGTCCAATTTTGAGTACTCAGTTTGAAGTGGTCTCAATGGAAACACCCTAAATTCGTGTCATGAATGTGTGGGTTTTGTGGGTTATCCGCAAAAACCTTTGTGTGGAAATTGTATTTAATTTTCATGGCTTTCACAACTTTTATTGATGACCTTTGGATGACAACACAGCGAGCCCTCGCACTCCCCTGAAATCAAATTGCTTTCATTTAATTAATACGAAATGTAATGAAATTGTAATTCCTCAAAAGTAACTGCAAAATGTGGCATATTGATGCGGAGAGTGAAGTGTATTGGAGTCTAAATGCAGACACAAAGCCAAGGCCAGTTTCTGTCTTTAATTAAGCTAAAAGCTAACGAAAAGGTCTTCCCAAACAATTAGCAAACACTTTGGCAACGTGAAGTAAAGTCCTTCTGCCTGTGTATCTTTGTGTCTGTCAGTCAGTGAGGAGCTCCTCCCCGGTCCAAACAAACAGGCGACAAGAAATAACTTTGGACAACAATTGCACAACAATTTGGGGCATGGCCATGTTGAAAGGGGGATTGATTGTCATTCGTTGGGGGGAAAGTTTTTTGTGATTTTGGTTGGCTGCTGTTTGGCAACATGCAACTTGTTAACCTGCCACTTGTTTGGCTGCCACTGCAGTTTCTCTACGTTTTAGACATTTTACGCAACCGAGTCCAGGGCTGCTCTATGGACGCATTGCAGTGGATGCACAATAAAAGAGAGCCTAACCCGTGGGCGCTGCCGCATGACGCAAGACACCAATCTTTAGAGGATAGATTGATTCACAGCTTTGCTTCAAAGCTCCTTCGACTAGGCCGCCGATAACCCATCGATAATTCCATTTTCTATGAGCTAAAAAAGTAAATCCAGTCTCTCACAATTCTGTCATCATGTACTCTTTGACTTCTTGATTATATTTCAGAAACAATTCAACCATTCGTTGACTTCCATTCCTTCAATACAGAGCTCAAAATTTTACAAAATTGTTTTGTTCGAATCTATTGAGTACAAAATATACTAATTTACGCTCAAACATGGACGAGCTTTATCCGGTAATACGCGAGTTTATGGTCGTTTGTATAACAGCATTTATTGACGGCCTGAACATTGCCATAAACTTTTGGAGTGGCATGGACGCGTACACCCAGCAGGTAAGCACAATGCTTCTGCTACCCTACAAATCCCTCCGATGCTGATCTGAGCTCTTGGTATTGTCTATCCCCCAGCCGAAAGACTGCAATTGCAACTGCTCTGAACCCCCAAGCGACATGCAGCAGCAGGAACCAGCTGTTGATGAGCTATAAACGGAGGACAGGCCACGCCACAAAGTTTGACGGAGTAGCATCAAAAGCGCGGTAAGCTGGACACAACAGATCTCAACTCACAATCCTTAGCTAACATTTTCCTGGATCCTTAGCCAACATTTGCTTTGATCCGGAACAGGGAGCAGCGGAAGGTCTGACCAGAACCACGATGGATTCGAATAAGTGGACACCATCTTTCATACAAAACTTTAGACTAAACTTTCGACTAAACCACAGGAAAAAAAAAGAATAAAATAAAAATTAATATACCACATAATAAAATAATAATATATAATATAATAATATAATAATAATATAGCTTGAAATTAATTGTAAGTTCAAAGTTCAAAGAGATGGTTCTTCAGGGTTTGGTGAGGGTCTTTCAGGGATCGCCTGTCGCTCGCAAATTGCGGCAGGGAGCTCTGTCTCCTAGTCTACTAAGATTCTTTACTTCATTTTGAACTCAATCGAAATGGCTTCGATGATTTAGCGCGCGCATGGCCCCCGCCCCCGCCCCCGCATTTTGTGCAGTTTTTGCCATTTGCTAATTTATAATCTCCAAGCCCATAATAAACATTCAAAGACAACAGCTGACGGTGGATTATTATTCATCAAAGGCCGAAAATGCTGGAGATGATTTCCATTAACGGCAAATCCAAAAATAGATTTCTTTGAGCCACTACGCGGCGCCAATTTTGTATACCACGAAGCTTGGATACTCCATGATCTCCTTGGCCCCCGGGGGTATGTCACTTCTGGAAGGGCATTATAATTTCCTATCCGATAAGAGCAGTAGAACCTCGATAGAGTTTTGTTCCTCTTATCCCACAGAAAAAAACCAGCCTGTGTTACACCACCAGAAATAGCAAGTGGAAACTATTGCTGCCACCGATGAATGGATGGTTCTGTTTTCCTGTTTTGTTTTATGCACAAAATACTCCCCGTAATGCTCGCCTGGTACTCGGGTATTGTTTTGTTTGACCGGCTAAATGAAGATTTCCCCTACCCCACCCGGCATTTTGTTGTGTTTATGTTTATTTTCTGCTCAGGTAATTAAAAGGCAATCAAAAGGCAAATAGATTCTCGAACTTTGGGGCACCTGTGCCACGGTCGCACTCCCTCTCTCTCTTTCTCCCTGTCTCTTCCACTCTCTGTTAGTGTTATATCTCTTGCTGTATTTTCCCGTCTCTTTTACTCTTGGTCTAACTTTCGCTTTGGTACTTGTCAACCATTTGGGTGCTAAACGAGAAACGATAAAAAAAGGCGCAACACAAAATCACTTGGAGGCGTCGTTCTGTGTATACCCTACACATAAATAGACAATTAAAGTTAACCAAGAATGGCAAATTCCAAAAAAGAGTTCTTAGAGGAGTCCATATAGTTCAAGTGACTAAGTTTTGGGTGTGATTTGGAGGAATAATACACATCAAGAATATCAAGAATGGCACATGTCTCCATTCAATGGCAACATTCCATATACCCATCCATGGCCTGGAATGGATGAGAGAGCGGTACAAAAATATTCTGCTTTGCTGTCGGGCTAATAAATGTTTCGCTGTAAATCTAAACAAAACAGAAGCAACAGCAAAAGCAAACGCAGAGCAGAAGCAGAAGCAGAAGCAGAAAAGAAGCAGAAGCAAAGCTGAAGCATCAGGGTAATAAAAATGATATTTTTTTTGGGTGTTCGTGTTCGTTCGTTTTTGGGCTTTGTTTTAATCTAAACAAATTTCTGTTGCCAAACGCGAGGCGGCGGCACAACTGACAGTCGTAAAAATTGTGTACCAAAATCATAATGAAGGCCCGACATGCCCACTGCATACCCTATTCTCCGAAATGGAACCAACATCATTATCTGAAGAGTTATGGAAAGACTTGGCAATGTATGTAATTGTCGTCTGTAATTAGATGTCTACTTAAGCGCGAAGAACCTTGAATTAATCCCTCGAAAAGGCACCTTTTTAATGTGATTTTCCTTACCCGGAGATAGAATTTGTAAGAACAGTTGTAAATCCTTTGCAGAAATTTCCACAAGCCAAAGAACTCACTTAAATTTTAAAGTTTGCCGTTGTCTTGCAAGTGAAAGTCAAAGGAGTGCCCAGGAGTTGCAGCAGCTGTGGACCAAGGACACTCCGCTGACAGTCAATTTAACGGTTCATTTGCACAGGAAGTTTCCTTTTTGCTCCATTTTGTTTATTTCTGCTCCTCCGCTATATTCTCGACTCTTGTCTGTTCTCTGCTGTGATTTGGAATGGTATAGAGAGAGCGGAAATTGCATCAGCGGAATGCAAAAACACCCAGGAGTCGCAGGATGCCGAGGCACTTAGAGAAATATTGAGAACTGCATCAAAATCAGTGCACGGAATCGAAATAAATCGTAATATGCGCTCACTAAAATGTAAAAGTACTTACAAAAATAACAGACAGCGGGAGGGAGGTAAAACCAAAAGGGGTTGGCGGGTAAGATAAGTTGTGCTGGAGCTGCCAGGGTAGGGCTGTGTGGCAGGTGGCTGCAGCGGCCCTTCATGGCGATGACGATGATGAGAATGACACAGAAAAGCGACAGATTCTGATTATTATAATGCACGCAAGCGTTTTGCTCCACTCAAAACAGCAGCAGCAACACCAGCAGGCAGTAAAATGTGACACAAACCGAAACAACAAATACCCTAGACTAGCGAAACTCAACCCCCAATGAGTTACTCCTGTATCGATGCCAAATGCCAAATATATTTAATAAATACATAAATATTTTGCACCACTTTTATAGACTTTTGTCATGGAAACACACAGAAATATAATCACAATAATATCTTCATATGGGAAAGTTAAGATAACTCTCCCCCCATAGATATTTATGGTTCGAGGGTTATGCAATGCTTTAGTTGATTTAGATTTTCATTCATCTGAATGGTTGCTATAAGATGGCGGGGAGACAGCTGTAGGGCAGGAGGGCACGGGTATGAGATGTCATTTGTTTCATTCATCCTCTCGTACCCTGGTCATGCCCTGGGTATCTGGGGTATCTGCTTGCTGCTGTAACGGAATGAGGGTTATCCATCGTCAAATGTCAAATGGCAACTTCCAACTGCCAAATGTCAAGTGCCACCTGCCACTTGCCACCTGCCACTGACTCAATTAGTCGGCACATTGTCCGACTCTATTTTTAATTTCTTTCAACTTTCTTTTCCTTTGAACTATCTTATGCTTTTGCTATCCTGCTTTTTTGCTCCTCTTTGAATCGGTTGGAGGATAGCAAAATGTACTTTGTGCAGGGCAGCCCGTAATTGCAACTAGAAAAATGAGTAAAAGGTTAAAAATATCTGTTGGGTTTTGCATTAGCTGCTGAAAGGATTCAAACTATGGAAAAATCCAACCATTTATAAGCATTGCACAAGAATATCTCTTACGAGTATTCTAATCATTCATAGACAATCAATCGCATAATCGATTCAAAAATCAATTAAAAAGATGAGCCCGCGATAGGATTGCGTAGAACAGGAAGCAATCGTTACAGTTAAACAGTTAAATCTAGTACCTAAAAGATGCAAATGCATCTGAATAGATTCTTGTTGAAGTATCTACATATTCCCCATACACAATGCTGTTCCATGTTGCTATCTTGTTGCAGTTGCACCTTCGCCTTGTTGCTTGTTTTGTTTTGTTTTGTTTTGTAGTATTTTGTTCTTACTTATCTCTCCCTTTCGCTGTCTTTATTTAATGTTTGTTATTGCATGTAGGTGTAGAAGTCTCTCGTTGTTTTCATGCACCGTAAAAAAAGGCATTTTGTGCTTTCTCTGCTGCATTTTGATGCTAGCTCAATGCAACTCAATTTCTCCAAGTGCACTTGTTGCTTCTCATTACAGCATTCCGCCGGCATGGAATCTTATTTTGGGTGGGCACTGTTTGAAGTCGTCTCTCATTTCAATTTCAGTTCCATTCCGACACTCAGCGACGCCTGATCTCAGTGTTCCCTCGGACCCCACCGCCTGCTGGCCAACAAATTTCCCTACGGTTTCCCCTGCCCCGCACCCGCGTCTAATTCGTCCGGCGTGTAAATAAACGCAGCGAGGAAAAAATAATTAAACAAATCTGTAAATAATATTTGCCTCAGTGCCCCAGATAAGCCGGGTATAAGTCGCTGATAGATAGAGGTGATAGAGGCAACCCATGGTTCAGGGTCGCGTTCAGGTTCCAATGCCAGTCGCTGTGACAATACAGTGAATGATCTGTTGAGAGGACAAACAACAGCTGCGAGGGTATGGCTTGGCAAAGTATTTGGTATTGGCTTTAAAGCGCTTTAATTGGTCTCCAGGGTGTGCTCTAGGAAGTGTTCAAATGTATCTAAAATGCTTTATACTCTCCTCTATTGTTCTTACTGTGTTTCCTCTAAGAACTGTTCTCCTCGCCTTTTGCTGTCACTCGTAACTCTTCGGATTTGCCTTCCTGATTTTTGATTTCAGCCTAAACAAACACCACGACTGAGCAGCGCATCTAGTATTTGCTGGTGCTCTGGCATTTGAGCAGCAGCCCCATATTTCCTCCACGCATTACATACAGAGAGCAGTGATGGTGGTTCTTGGCAGTCCGTCCGTGATGCTCCGTCAGCCACTGACTAGTAATTAAACACTGCAGGCCGCTGTCGGCACAGTTTTTTCTTCCAATTTGTATACACTTCCAGCGGTGTGGATTGGATAATGGCAGCTCAGAGTAGTTGTGGCGTGAACAGCATTTGGATTTGTGTGCAAAAATGCAACTAAATCTTACAGTGTGGAGAGTCTTACCCTGGCAAGTGTGCATGCGAGTTTCCCTAAAGGGTATTTGGTGCTTCGGCTTGAGCAAAGCCCAGGCACGTCTCTTGCTAGTTTTTCCATTTATTAGGCCCAGCGCTGAAATAAAAATAAAGCAAGTGGCATATGCTTGTGTAGACGCAGCTGCAGACGCCTGGGATACCCTGTAAGCGACTTAAAGAGTAGAGCTGGCGCAAGTCCGAATATACTGGAAGGCATATCCTGTACACAAGACAGGCAAATGGGCAAAATGTGACGGAATGTGAGTGTAACGAATCGAATCGAAATGAAATGAAATGAAACGAACAATAGGTACGAATAGGAGTCGCCATGCCATACCCCATGCACCATGCCACACGCCACACGCCACACGCCACACGCCACACGCCAAGAGATGCGAGCAGCGGAAACGTGACTAGGCCAATGTTAAGGCCACTGACGTCGGTCGGTCGGTTGTAACTCTTGTGGATGCTGCAACTGTGCCGCCGCTGTGCCTGCCACACATTGACGTGGGCACATATCTCCGTGTGCCTTTGACAGGCAGATTGAAACGCGCCCAAAATACTCGCCTGCTCGTATGCGGAAGATATGTGCTGCGGACGGGTGGCCGCTTGCCACATAGGAAAAGAAGTGTATGCCTATATATAGAGAGTAAAACTGCAGACACTGCCAGAATCTGGCTCTGGGGCTGAGCTTCTGGAAGTCCAGGATTCTGGGGGTGCAGCACTGGCAGGATCCAAATCTGCTTTGCAAGTGGCAAATATAATTCACCGAACGTGCGCGCTCATTGACATCTGCAGAGTGGAGCCCAAGGGATGTTGGGAACCAAGAATCCACTCAACTACGATTATCTGTCCAAAAAGCAGGCAACGCCTGGGCGGAGGCTGCACTCTAAATATTACTTATCCATTCAGCGGTAACCTAATAGTTCCTACAGTAATTCATTTGGGATATGGATGCCCAATGGCTTCCACCCATAAACTAACCGTTGAAATTCAAATAAACTGTGTGAAACTTTAGCGAAATGTGCATAAAACCGCGAGACACAAACAGCTGTTGATGAATACGCATGGCTACTTAAAGGATTACAAGTGATTGCAAGCCGGTGGCCACCAAGGACAATACCCAGTGGCAGAGTTTAGTGAACCCGCGAGGGGCAAGCGAAACAGAAACAGAGGCCGCATGGAGCCAGGTAAACGAAAGGACCAACGCTGCAGCGTTTGGGGTTGCTTCTCTTCCTTGCCGCTGAATGTTGGGGGGGTACATTTAAGGGGGTCTTTGGAACTCGATTACATTGCAAGTGGACAGATATTTGCTTTGCAGTGACCATGGAGTTACTTAGAGTGCGGCAGCGCCCTTCGGTCAGGCTTGGGCTGACTGTTTCCCATACCTTCCACAACAGCAATGGCAGCAATATTAATATATTACTACTACCATCTATTGAAGAAGATTTTGATGTTTTGATTTTAATTTGCATTTTGACGAATTTGCATGAGTTTGTATTTGAATTTTCAGTGTGCATTCGCATGAATGTGCGTTTGTTGTAACCGGGAATTTATTTTCACTTTTATTCCACCGCCGCCTGCCTTGCCTGACCTGCCGAACAACTGTAAACAGTGAGCAAACAGGCAAACAAACGGTACAACTTACAATGCAACCAGTGTGAGAGAGAGCGGTCAGAGGGGTGTCCAACAGCGACAGGCACAGTGACATAGAGAGAGATAGAGGGCGCGAGAAGAGAGCATGCAGCTAAGCTATCGCTTTGGCCGTTAAATGCAGGCAGTTGCACCCGCACACGAGTACGAGCACGAACACGAAACACGAAGCACGAAACACGAAACATGCTGTGACATGGCCAAAACAGAGACAGAAAGATGGAGATGAACTCGCACGTGTTCGTGCGCTGCTCGTCGGTTTGGCTGGGTGGTGCTCGTCGGGTGCGGTGCCGTCATCGGGTGCCGTGGTAAAGGATAAGTTGCTCAGATGCTCGCTAGATTCTGTCATAACGGTTTTGGCATTCGTGGCGCACGCTACGAACCAGAAGCAGCGCCAAGCAGTGCACAGAGATAAAACCGTTATTAGTGGTTATTTTGTTCAAATATTTTGTGTTTGGAAAACGTTTTTCAAAGTGAATAAAAACAAGTAATTTGTTGATGTCTCTTTTTTTTTTGTGCTTGCGAGTGTTACAAAAATAATTCAACTTCTAAACGAAATATCAGCTTACAAAAAATAGTCCCAATCCCATAAACCATAAAAACTTGAACTGACCAAATATATTTGAGAACGAACGAACAGCAAAAGAAGACCAGAGCCAAGAGTCGGACAGCTAAACGCCAGAGGCCATAGTTGGGTGAGTGTTCTGTTATCCAAAAGGCCTAAAGACTGTTTAAACAGTTGAAATGCCAATTACCATTTCAGAGATAAAAAAAAAAAAACACAACGCAATTATTTGCCCACAAATTAACAGAAATGTTTGCCCAAAGTTCCTTTATGGTTTTTGCTTTTGCTAAATGCCGGTTATTATTCATGGCCCGCCCGCCCTTTCTTGTGTGGTAATACTTGCATATGTATAATAATCAGGGAAATAATCCATTGAACAAAGTCTTCAATTCAGGAATAATGACATTTGCTTCATTCATGCTTGAAGTGTTCCTCGAAGTGTATCGAATTTTCAGAAATCTTGCCATTGAAACAGTTTTTGTTGAAGCACTTTGTCTCTTAGGTTTCTCTGTAAAAGCTTGAGTTGTTTTGAAGCGAATGATATCGGATATCAATGAAACATTTAATGCCTTAAATTTTCATTTAGATACCATTTCAGTCAAACATTAAAATTCAGTTGCCTCAAAACTCTTTATTGGCTCTTGAAAATATTCATTAATATAATCTTTTAGTCGTGTTATTCCTTTAAAACCCCTAGGTACCCTTTTTTACTTTATTTATAGTCAAAATAGAAAATGTATTGCGCTGTCCATGTCATAGCTTGTTGTGGGCATTGTGGCATACCACAAAATGCATCCGCAGATGCCACTCTCAGTTCTAAATATTTATATAGAGGTCGAACTGAATTTACTTGCAACTCAAAATGTTAAATGGAAAGCGGAAAAGCGTGGGCAAATTTGAGTTTAAGATTATACATTTATAAATTGATTTAAATACCTGAAGGAAATTCAGGGTATTTGCTTCTTCCTTTTCTATTACTGCTCTAAAATTTTCAGTGGCACTGGCAGTGGCATATCTATATCCTAATCATTTACGAACCAAATATTTACTCGTGCCACTCACTGTATAAATATCTAGGGTTCCGTTCGTTCCCATTGTGAGATAAATACTCCCACTCCACTCCATGGCCGAGACCGTTCCCACTTCCTCAATCCCAACAAACACACAAAACAGAATAGAATTGCATTCATTTTTCCTTCTGCTGCCTTCATCTGCATCGTGTATATATGGCAGGATGTGGAATGCCCAAGACCCAGGACCAAGACCAAGACCAAGACCAAGACCAAGAAAGGAAACGACATTTTGTATTTATATTTCGAGCGCGAGTGAGTGTGTGTGCGTGTGTGTCTGGCTGTGTGTGGTAGCATCTGTCTGTGTATATCTGTGAGTGTCTGTGTATATTTGTATCAGTCTGTGCTCGTTAGCAGTGTCCAAAGTGCCGTCGTGAAGTGTTTTTGTGCTGCTGTACTGCAGCAGCGCCTCTAAGCGGCCCTGACTTTCTAATGAACTGCAACGGTGGACCGACAATGGACGACCGCCAGGGCACATGTTTCATCATCTGCTCCGTTACCTCCTCCACTCATTATTGGAACAGCACAGGCCCTTCCCTACCCCGGAGTGCCCAACGGGTGGTGCTTAAACGTTCTCGGAATCAAATTGTGCTACTTGCGGCAGGCACTGTCACATCTGCTTCAGGAATCTAACTGGGTCCTGTTTTTGGGGCCACGGCAGCAGGGACAAGGAAATGGGAATGGCACCATTTACCACTTTTCGTCATCGTCCACAAACCTCAGAGCTAAGGAGGAAGACTGCAGGCGAGGCACAACTAAAATTGCTTGAATGCAACGACCCATGGATACGGATGCGTTTTGGCCTCCCAGTGGGCCCAGAACACCGGCTAGTGGTGGCTAGTGTGGGGTGGGGGGACGTATGCGTAATGTGCAAATATTTCCCATCCCCGTACAATTTGTTTATCGCCCGCTGGAGCTAGTGTCTAAACAAAGAGCGGAACGAAGGGGGCATAAACAAAATGCTGCGTGTACGCCCCGCCCCCACTGGATACGATTGTGAACAAACAGCGTGAACAGCGTGAGACTCGTGTGTGCGGATACAGTGAAAACTTGATTTAGTGGGACAGCCCTCTGAATAGTAAGAACAAAAGAGTGAGACGGACCTACCATCATCTTGGGCAGAAGCCAATGAAAAAAAACCCAAAAGATCGTAAAATGTTTGCTGGATATTTATCCATCATCGATCTTTCTTTAGCATTTATGTATGTAGCTGTCAAGTTCTTTAGGCCTTAGCTACAATTTATTGCACTTTTTATTTTATATCTTGCGAGATTTTGTTTGAAAAGTTTGTTTCGCTTTGAATGATTCATTCACGTACACTTTTCACTGTTTTTCCGCAATATAATCGTACTGGAGACTGCCCATAGAAACCTATATTAAACATATGCATCGATAAATTATAAATATCAATTATTTATTAGACTTATTTTGAAATGGATTTCGGTGATTTTTATTACATTTTTGCTGCCGTTAATAAACGTTCATGTGATGAGCCCTCGCTCCTCTCGCCCCTCTCCCATATCCACCAAACACAAGACAGGGCAAATCTGAGTGGCAGAAACAGTTTTTGAAACTTCAATCGGTTGGCCAAAGCCAAAACAATATTTCAAAAAATGCAACCATCGAAAATAAATGCATGCAAATGGATGCAACAAATATTTGAACTCGCTGCCAGACTTTGCGAGGGAGTGCTGAAGAGTGTTGCAACGTTTTATGACGATCAAAGAATGGAGTCAGAATAATGCCGCTATTCAAGAAGATTTCCTCTGAGGAGCTGCTTCACAGATCATCAAATGTTAATAGAATTTTACGAAACTTTAAGAAATTAGGTGCCGATAGTAATGTTTCTTAGGAGTTTGTCTTTCGCAATTGGTTTTAATTACTATTAGGTTGCCAGGGATTCTACACATTTCTTATCAAAAGCAATCCACAGCTGTTTTTCTTGTCTCCTACTTTCGACCGTCTGGTTCCAGGGAAAGCAAAGGAAATCAATCATTTTGTACTTGCCTAGTAGAGCCGTATCCCCAGATACCTTTGGAGCGAAAGCCAATTAACATTTAACCTTTGTTCTATTTTTGTATAAGAAATACATTGCATTGCCCCAGCTCTTGAGAACACCTGAAAATAAAAGCCATGTACGGCGAGCATCTGGATATGTCGTATGAATATATAAAACACATATTAAAATCCTTGACTTTGAAATTCGATTTAGTATTTTGTTGCGTTTGTGTTGTGTTTAATCAAATGACATTTTATGTAGCGCCCACAAAGCAAATTTATGTGTTGATAATTCCGTGGCACAGAGAGTGTCCAGACACTGTGATGCTCATTACAAAGTGTACTATCAGCAAATGGTACAGGGCTGCTGCCAAATTTCCAACTTATAATCAGCCAGAAAAAGCTGGCACCTTTCTGCAATTTTAAAATATCTTGAAGACATTTACATACACGCGAATACTCTTCTTCTCTGAGTCCCAAAACGCCATCGATGGCTATTCTTTTTGCTGTTGCTGCTGCGATTTTGGTGTTGCGTTGCCCTTCCGGCTGCATTCACGCACAATTCACGCATTCAGACATGAATCGCATATTAATTGGTTGAAAACCGCCCTAAAAGCAATCAACATCAGTCCATGGCCATGGTGTTGCTGAAACAATAAATCAATTAGATGAATCGTTTATGTTTGGCAATTTTTAATGAAACTGGGCGAAGAGTAAGTGAAAACAGAGAAAAAAGTATATTTGGGTCGCTTGGCAGCAACCGTTTGACGTTGGTTTCGGGGTACCGTTTGACTTTCCCTTTTTTCCCCAATGGCTCCTCCAATTTAAAAACCAGCTCTTTGGCACCAAATTGAGCCAGCAGCAGCGTTTTGCCATTTCGTTTCTTGAGATGAATGGGGGAAACTGTCGAGCACATTTCGAGCCACCGGATGCACATTTCCAGGCGGAAGCCAGCCGCCATGAAATATTCACAAGAATAACTGAAAACTTAATAATAGGGTTGGATGGACTGTGGTGGAGGCAATGGTAGGAAATCGATCTGGCAGGCAGCACCAGTTGAATAAATCATGACTCGATTCGTGGTCACAAATAAATCCATTCGATCAACAATTAAATTACAATGGTGATGTTTGTTTGTTTGTTTTGTTTTCCTTGTGTTGAATGGAATTATTATAAAATTGCAGCTCTGTGCAGTTTGTGGGACTAACAAGGGAAAGTTTATTCCGTTAACAGTCCCTGGGTGATTCTAGAATTCCCTTTCCTATCTAAGAAACTCTTTTGGTTCACCGTTTACTTACCGTCTCCCTGCTCGCAACCCTGTGGCTTGAAGTGCAACCCTGTTTACGCCAATGTTGTTGCATGTCGTCATTCTTAAACGTTTAGCAAGTGCACCCACTGGAAACGAAAAGGAAACAATTTTTTCATTTGGTCAAATGCACGCTTAAACCCCACTGCACACACGAGGGCTCAGTGTCATCCGTGGCCCATCAATGGATTAAAGTTCATTCAGGAAGAACTACAAATTAAAACGCGACTTTGCACATCATAATCCTGCATCCTTCCTCGTTCCTTGCCCTCTTGTGTGACGTGGCATGTTGGAGTGCGTCGTATAAAAGGATGTCAAACACTCCTCTGCATGATCTGTCGATGTGTCTTTTGGGTGCGTGGGGGTCATACTCATATGACAGACTCTCGAAACTTGTTCTATTCGTGTTTGTTGCTGCTCTTGTTGTGGCAGAATGTCAGCTTAATCGGCTTAGCGGCAACACAAACACACACGCGCACACTGTGCAACGCACACACACACACAAACACAAACACTGCCGCACGTAGGCTAAAGATGGAATACACTAAAAGCATTCGGGTGCAACGAAATCTCGACGCCATGGGCGATTGTGCGGTTCAGTCGAACACATCTGTATATGCTGCGTGTGTGTGTGTGTGTGCGGGTGAATACACTAAAAGTGTCGCCTGGAGTGCCTTGCACCCACATAGTACCATACGCCACAGACGTCGTCGCCTAATGACTGTGCGAGTCATCACCATCACTGACTTTCACTCT